CCTTTATAAAAAAGTTAATATTTTTATTTTTAATTTAAAAAAATATTTTAATATTATAAATGCAACGAGAGGATTTCTGAATCAAGTGTATGTTTGTTGTTAATCCAAATAAATAAAGTTGTAAAGGTCAGAAAATTAGGCGTATATCTCCCATACCGATTATCACCCTCAATACGGTTGACAATTATATCGTAAGTTATATTCCTTTTCGACGCTTCATTTTTAAATTCTAAAAATCGTTCTTCTGGCTCAGATGTACTTTCATATAGCTCAGATTCACTTTCATATAGCTCAGATCCACTCTCATCTGTTATCTTTAATGTAGATAATTTTGGTAAATTATCAATAATAACGAATATTTTTTTTGTATCGTTAATCGTACATTGTAAATGTTCAATATTAGGAAACATTTTACAAAAGTCTTTCATTTTGAAAGACCCGTCAATACTACGGTTGTATTTGACGAAATTGAAGTTTTTAATCGCTTTGGTTAAATAATCGAATATATCTTTATTATTTAAAATCTCTTGAAGACAACTTGGACTAATTGATATTGATGATAATTGTAGTGTTTCTTTAAATATCTCTAATAAAAAAGATGCATTTGTATTATCCGGAATACCCAAATGTTTGAGTTTAAACAAATTAATCATGATTTTCAAATATTGAATATGCTCAGTTGTCAGCAATGTATCAAAATGACCTTTACTTAATGTTAAAGATGTAACATTTATAAAATAATACTTCGAATTTTCGACTAATCCTTCATAGTTTAATATCAAATTTTTAACATTAACAAATGTATTGACTAAATTATTCGAAGAATTTGTAAAATTAAACTGTATTTGATATGTATCACATATATAAGGTGTTGTATAAAACAATATTAAATGATCTTCTTCTATATATTCAAAGCACCAATGATGTTTTTCTTTCCAAAAATCACTTTGAAATTGTTTAAATTTGTCGATTTTGGTTTCATGAGTGGATCGAAAATACGGAGCTCCTTCATAATAACTGTATTTAAAATTGAAAGTATTTAACTTAGGTATTGACGATACTATTAAATATTCCCAACGATTAGCATCAATGATATTTATATCATTATTATTATCACTGATGAATGTTAAACTTTTTAAATTCGGTGTTTGTTTTACAAACATTTCAAAGTTCTCGAACGTATCGGTAAATTGACCAATAATTAATTGTTTTAGATGACAACTATATTGATAATTTGATAATATGTTGGGATTCTTTCCAAGACAACGATCAATAGATTTAATCTGTAAATATTTTAACATAGGAAGGTTATTAAAAAGACACTCAGAATCTTTTAAATAAAATTTTGAAATCGCTAAATTGATGATTGATGATGTTTGATGAATATTTGATCTAAGTGAAACCAAATTTAAGATAGATAATGTTCGTAATTGAGATAATGGTAGATCACTTAGTTTGATTTTAAGATGTATACGCCGATCATCCTTTTCCCATCGTTCATAATATGAATAAGGATATGCCCAATAATCTTCTTTATCTCCGAATAATGGATATATCGACACAAGTCTTTGAAGATTTGGAAATTTATTTGGTGGAAAAGATGAGAAAAATAAATTGCATTGAAAACATTGATCATCATTTCGTATTTCGATTGAACAGATTTGATTTCGAATATTTGAATCGATCAACATTTTTGCACAAAATTTATCAAATATTGTTTTATTAACATCTTCGAAGTTAATATAAAGTCGAACATTACGAATAAGATTATTCAAACGAGAGTTTAACCCATCAAATGAATAAAACAGATTGAATGCATTCAAATATTTAAAGCATTCAATAACAATTTCATTGGGTAAGAATTCGAATATCACTCTCTGTCCTATTTCACTCATTGTTAAAACTAAATGAAAACATCCAAACAACGTGTATTTGTTTTTATATAAAAAGATATCTTTATCTCATGTCTCATACTTATCAGTGATGTCTTATCCAAAATGAATTGTTGTTTTAGAATGAATCATTGAGGGTGTGAGGGTGAGTAAAGCATGCCAAGATCGCGATTTCGTTCTTGCTAAAGAAAACATCAGTTAAATAGAAATAGATTAATCTATCTCTTAACGAAAAGACAGATCAATCTGCTGATCTCAACTGTTGCTTTTCTGCAACCCATTTTAGAGTCGAATTAATCTGAGGGTGTGGGTGCGGATGTGTGGCTGTGGCTGTGGGTGGGTGTGGCGTGTGGGTGTGGAGGGTGTGGCTGTGGGTGTAGGTGTGTGGGTGGATGTGGCGTGTGGGTGTGGAGAGTGTGAGTGTGGGTGTGTGGGTGTGGGTGTGGGTGTGGGTGGGGTGGATGTGGGTGGGTGCGGGTGTGGTGGATGTGGGTGTGGGTGAGGAGCGTCGATTTGGTGCCGGTGTGGGTGAGGGGTGTCGGTTTGAGTAGAATTATTGAAGTTATCTCTTCTCCCGCACACCACTCACCCCACACCCACACCCTCTGAGCATCAAGTAAGGTTTATCTTTTTTAATAAGGGTTGCGCAAATACGGATACAAATTGTATTGAGTGTTTGCTATAATGTCTTAGATGTTCATGCTGATCAGTATCCATTGGAACGTCACGACTTGTAACGACATGTATCGGGCCAGTGTATCGTCAGAGCCAAATATATATACCCCTGAAAAACCTAGAATTCTAAAATTCATGCATCGGTATGTATCGATAGAATTCTAGAATTCTAGGTTTTCCAGGGATATACATATGGTTATAACGATATATCGCCCCGAAACATGCCGATACATGAATTCTAGAATTCTATGCTTTTCAGTGGTATATACAGTCATTGTTATCCCCTGGAGCTATACATGTCGGTGCATGGTGTTAAAAGCCGTTACATGGCAGTAGGTTATGTTAAGGTGGAACAAAGGATATATCTTGGAGAATGCCCGATACAATTTGTATTCGAATTTACGCATCTGTGTTTTAAATAGAATGTTATTTTTCGTTTCAGCCACCGTCATTCTGATCGATTCGCCATCATCAATTAAGTAAGAAAATTGATTTCTTTTTTTTTCTTCGAGATGAGATAGACGGGGATAATTAACAAGATAGTCAGTGACTAAGACCATAAAATAGACAGAATTAGACTTAGAACGAGGGATAGGGTGTGGGTGTGGGTGTGGGTGTGGGTGTG